AGCTTGCTGCAAGCGCGCGCGGATGTAGCTATGAAGAACGGGAGCCTTGGATCTCCAAGTGCATGCAAAACTCATTTTTGTTGATTTTGTTTTGTAGGCAATATATATATATTAAACATGTAGCATGGCTGCAATAATGGCATCCTCGTTGCGCATAGAAAGGAATAAAAAGCAGTAATTCTTCTGCATCTTTTCGTACTTCGCGCTTGTTCGTTATTTGTCTACAGCTCCGTGGGACTTTGCCTGTTTAGTGGGCCGGGTGTTGTGAAACAAGCTTCCCAACGGTGGGGCTTTGAGGGGAGAGGAATTTCGCATCGAAAGCTGGTCGTGTGGGTGCCATAGATTGCGGAAGGTCTCGGAGGTTGATCAGACTTGCAAGCACGATTGCCAAGAAGAAACAGGTTTTGGGAGCCGCACTTGTTCCTACGGTAGGTGGACAGTATTTGAAACCCTTACAGCACTAGCCCTTGCACCAGTATACAGTATATCCCCTCACCGCCCCAAATTTTAATGTTGTCAGGCTTTGCCATGGGGTTTGCTTGAGTGGACGAATCAAATCAACCCCCAAAACCGAAACCTGATTCAAACCTCCGGCAACCCGCCGGCCTCACTTGCAACCTGGTTGTGTGCAGCTACTAAACTTTAGCTGCTATACTGGCTAGACTTTAACAACCCCACTACACTTGTAGCACCTCTCTGATGCAGATAATGCGAGGCTATATCAGGTTCCCAGCCTCAATCAGCTTTGTGAACGAAAGAGTTAGCTTTCAGCTGCTGGGTGGGCATTTCTGTTGATTTCTGCCGCTGCGGATCTGCAATTGAGGAATGGGATGACGTCTTTGGATCTCGCGCAGCGCCGCAAGGTAGACACCTCCAAAGGTGGGGTGGCTTGTGTTGGTCTTGGGAGGGGGCATTCATTTGCCTCGTTCACCCATAAACCAAGATAGATGCGGGCTTTTCCACTTATTGAAACTACCCTTATCACCAATTCACCTACTACAACTACTCAACTGTCAACCACGCCTCAAACTTAACCACTCATCAACACAACCCACAAAACGTGCTGCGGAGGCTCACTAACATTCCGTTCTGGCACCAGAATTACTGCTGTCTGAGAGTTTACATTTGTAAAGACACAACTTTTCATGATCAATTTGCTTCGAAACTACTGTAGTATAGTCTGGGGTAAAACTACTGCAAACTGGTTGTCACAAGGGATCCTACTTCACTTGTTCCGCACGATTGCTAGGCTATCCTTGTGCCATAATCCAACAGTTGTAAATTGGTTGAACTAGGAGTGCAACACCATCTTCGGAGCCGCGGAATTTTGCATTCTGACGCGCTAGGTGATTGGCGCCAGCACGAGGATCCAGTGCTAGTTCTCTTACGCGAAGCCATGAAACGGAGAACAACATGAATTGGGGAGTACAGAAGGCCTGTAATTGCAATTACTGTACAAAGCATATAATACTGGGGGTATGGCGAAGCGGTGCAGTCGATGACACGAGGTATGTGGCCAACATGGCCCTCTTGGGGATATTGATCTGCGAACACCGTTTCGTTGTGTCATTTTAATGATGGGTTTCCGGAACTGGGCCTCGTGGGGTAGCGCGGGAAAAGAATGTCGCTGATGGGTCTTGCCGATCTACTCACGCTTTGTCCATTACTGCACTTGTACTCTTTGGACAGTACTCCTCAAACCGTGCAAAGTTGAAGACTCAAAGGACATTTTCCACAGGACATGGTAAGCCAGACTTGGGATTTGCAATTTTCAGCCTTGCTAGTCGAACCGGCAGTGAATTGCGAGCTTTGTTTTTGCGAGACCCCCTCTTGAATTGTCATTATATAGAACAAGAAGCTACTAGGGGCTCCTGGCATCGCTACTAGGAGCAAAGACGCTACTAGGGGCTCCTGGCCGTACTACTAGGAGCAATGTTCGCTACAGTCATTAGTCATTAGTGATTCGTGCGATTGCCCGGGGCAGGTTCCGATGAGGCATGACTTTTCTGTTGAGCAGGCACGCATTTGCTGCTACCTGCTAGTTTGATCAAGATGAAGTGATGAGCGTTGCTGACAAAGTCAGTCGCATTCCTTCCTTGACCTGGATATCAACAAGTCAATCAGCACTTGAATTCAGATCTTTGGGCCACAGGACACAGGACTACCATTATATATTATCATTTGGATGTCACCCATTGACACCCTAAATTGGTCCGCTCCCAGAGGAGAGCCCTTCACACATGTAATGTTTTGAGGGACTGGGTATGGCTTTGACACAAATCTGCACCCTGGCGCCAGCACCTAGACCAGCTGACTGCAGAGGCTTTGGACATGGGTCGACAATGTTCATGTGTTTGCTGGAGAGTGAGCCTGGAATGATGGCTTTCAATTAACGAAGGTTCCTTGGAGCTTGGTAGCGTACTCTCTCCCTCCCTCCCTCCCTCCCTCCCTCCCTCCCTCGCTCTCTTTGTCTCTGACAACCAACCAATCTCTTACTTTGGGGTTTTCGAGGGTACATGAAGGCCCAAGACCATGAACAGATACTTTTCATGAACGAGCATGAAGCGGCCTCGATGATAGGGATAGGGGTCTCCTCAGTGTGACGGTTAGGTCTTCGAATTCAATTCGATGAACTTTGTTTGCCACTGCTTTGACGGACTTTAACGACCCACCCAACAAGTCAAGAAGCAAACAAGGCGCAAACAAAGGAGCTGCAAACAACCACATATTTTTGTTGCCAGCCAAACTGTCGCACAGAAATGTATTATATCGTGGTCCCTTCACAGACAGATAGTACTAAATCCAACACAAATTGAAAGACGATCCACTTTCCCATCTGCAGGGGTCAACCTTTTCCCCCTGAGCTGCTTTCCAACATTGGGAAACGTGGGATCTGAAGCGTAGAAAAACCCTTCCAAAGAGAAGTGCCAAGTGGAGCCGGGAGGAGGGAGTTTCAGGGAGCAAACTTGATCGAACCATGGGAAACGTTACAGAAATATACTTCTGGCAGACGAAAGTTTAGGCTTGTTAACCATGTTCAAACGACGCTGTGGGGTCAGCTGCGGATCGAATTACCAAGTCCAATTTTCGTGGCAGGTGTGGGACGGTCAATTATCACAGGCTTCGCGGTGTGAAAAATGACCGCCCACACGGCCCCAGTTCTCCCAATGTAGGATTCTAGGGGGTAAGGGTTGACATGAGTTTGTGCTTCAAGAAGCGCAACTTTTGTTTGGCCAGTGTATGGGTAAAGTGTGTGGAAGGGAAGGGATGTGCGATGATTTCTGCTGCGGCAATGTAATGTGTGGTGATTTGTTATGTGCTGAAGCGTGAGGTGTCCCAAGGGAGCTTTTGGAAAACATTCCAAAACTTTTTGTTCCAGACATCTCCAATTTTTTTTTAATTGTGCATTATACTAGTATATACAAGTATTTTTTCTCTTGCGATCCTGACTTTTCGGCACTTTTATATCTAGAAATATCTTCCTCACAAAGCTATACCGCCAGTGCAAACCTTGAGTTGCACTGCGCAATTGAATTGCCCACTGTCACACCTGACCAACCCTGCCAATGCACATTGAAGCCCTAAGTTAGGCCCTAAGTTCCATTCCTGAATGAAGCTCTTCCATCAATCTTCAAACCACGATCACAGTGACCCTGGGGTCAGGGGGATGCATGGGAACCTGTTCTGAAACTGTCGTGCAACCGTCCACACTCAGACATGTTGACTGACTGCGGGCCCAGTCCTTGACTCACTTCTTTGATGCATGTGTGAGCATTTTAGACTGTACTGCAACGTTTTGCAACTTGGAACATTCCCTTGGACACTTCCTTTGAACAACGAATGAAAGAAATGAACGAAATGAAATGAAATGAAATGACATGAAATGAAATGCAATGAAATGAATGAAGTGTAAGTGTTAGTGTTGAATATCCAAAGGCCTCGATCGTTGAGGGCAGAACCAGAGCCGCTTGAAATGTTTCTTGCTACCCTCACATATCAGCTATATACCCTCTACAAATACCGTGTGGATATAGGCTTCGTAGTTTCAACGCTGTTCGCAATAGTTGGACATCGTCATCTCAATCTATTTGGATTGCCAAATCCACCACTTGAACTCTTTCCCTGCAGATGAAGCTCCTGCGTGATGGGTTGGCCACTGTGGCCGAGGCCTTGTGAAGAACGCCCGTTGGAACTTGAACAAACATAGCTTGTGGGCAGCCTTTCGAGAGTTCAGAGCTCTCGTCTTTCATGGCCCCGTGGCAATAGCCTGTGTTCGTTCACCCGTGATCGTGCTTCTGCGAACATGGCATGGAAGAGAGAGTCAGGATAACTAGCTGTGAAGGAGAGAGAACTGAGAGTGCAGCGCTGAAAACCGCTTGCAGCGAAACGGAACATTGGAGTCAAACATAAGCACATTTTGAATGCTGCAGTGCTGTTGGTTGATCCTCCAAAGAGAAAACCGGCCACACGTGACAATTGGCATTTGTCTCAACAATGGGTAGTTTTGTTGCTTCGCAAGCACTAGCATGTCTCAACAACAATGTGGGACGCCTATCCCGGCTCAACTGGCATGGCACTACACATGGTAGGCACAACCTGTCCTGCAGAAAGAGGCGAGGTGCCAGGGATGCTTGGGAGGTTCTGTGTCAGGGAATCCGCATTTCACTCCAGACAGTAACTCGTGTCAGGAAGGCCGAAACTAGACCAACACAGAACAGATCTGTAGACTTGGCAAGGAACTTGCTCCAGAATTTTGCACATGATGTGCTTTTCTCTGGCTTGAACTGCTGTGTGGTCAGTCAATTCACTTGTTCCATGCCAGGGAGACACTGGGATCGTGTTCAAACAGGGGTGTGATTTTGCAATCACAGACATGTTTGCATGTCGGTTTTGGCTTGCAGCACCGGAAAGAGATTTTGGAGCAGGAGTGTAACTGACGTGTTGAAGCACATTTTGTCACAGCTTCCAAGTGGACTTAAAGCGTCAGGTGAAGGGTTTCCTCGCTGTATGCATTCTACAGCCCTCAAGCGGGCGTTTTTCCGTGCGCGTTGCGTGATGGCCCCGCGGGTGGAGTTGTATACTGCCTATGCAGCTCACCAAAAAGGGGTTGGATGCCCATGGGAAGCGAAAACGGGCAAGGGAAACACATAGAAGCAAAAAAATATTCGACGGGGATCAAAAAAAAAGGAATAAAACACAAATATTCTAGCCCACTGAGGATGGTTGGGGTAGTAGTAGTAGTAGTAGTAGTAGTAGTAGTAGTAGTAGTAGTAGTAGTAGTAGTAGCAGTAGCAGTAGCAGTAGCAGTAGCAGGATTAGGAGACCAAGGGAAGAGGATGGAAGGAGTAGGGGACTAGGAGAGTGTACCTCCCTAGGAGCTCCTTCCTAGTAGGGAGCTATTTCTACTGGTGAACCATTTTTCGAGTAGGGCTACTCAATGACTGGACGGCTACCATCATTGGGTACCTACTTTCCTCCCAGGGAGCTGCCTCTAGTAGAAAGCAATCAAGCCTCGATTTGCGCAAGCAGGGGACCAGGAGACCGAAAGACGAGCGGAGTAGGAGAGCAAGAGACCAGCGGACCAGGAGACAGAAGGACCAGGATACCAGGGGACCAGCGGACCACAGGACCAGAGGACCAGGAGACCGGAGGACTAGGGGACCAGTGGACCAAAGGACCAAGGGACCAGGGGACCAAAGGACCAGTGGACCAGAGGATGAAGACTTTTTTTGACTTTGTGGCGCACTCGACAAGGTCCGGCTCCTCTTGGAGCTAATGCACCGAGGTGCTCTTCGGGAGGGTGAGTGAGAAAAAGCGCTGTTGCTGATCACTCAGGTAGTTCGAATTCTATGGCCAGCCAAGGCCTTTAGCCGTGGTGAGAGTGTGGCATACATTTTCTAAAGAATTGAAGTCTCCAGCCGGCTCCATAAAAAGAGGGTCAGCTGTGGGAGTGTGCCTACCACAACTCGCAGGACGTACATGCAGACAAGTCAAATCGTCAAGATCCTCCTCGAAAAAGGAGAAAAACCTTTCAAAGCTCACAGGAGGATTTCAAGCCAGTTTGGCTTTGCCATCAAAGGCGTGTCAACACGGAGCAAACTGGGCACCTTCCAAGGGAAAACAGGTGCGGTTGGTGCCTCACTCACTGGCAGCCGCCCTCAGTAGTCGATCTCCAGCCGAAGAGGCAGCTAGTGAAGCCAAGCTGCCAATCCATCAAGATGGGGCTGCTCCTCTGCAGTGAACAAGTCGCTCCGTGGTGCAAGATGTTCTTCATGATATGCCAGCGCAACTCGATAATTCAGCTCCACGTGGCATTTGTGCTCCAGGTCCGGGGGTCCGTGCGGTCCCCAGAAGACAATTTGGATTCCACATCTATGGCATGGAAGCTGAGAGACACAAAACTTACTAAGCTGAAAGGCAGGCAGCGTGAAGACGTCTTGCCAAAGGGCGGTGTGTTTCAACCTCAAATGCCGGTTCAAGGTCTCATAGTTGAAGATCACCTTCCCGCAAACAGCACAATGCACTCGAAAATAAATTTCAAGTTCCCTGGGCAAATGGGCCATATGCTCTGCGGGGTTCCAATCCAGTTGCTTCAAATGATGAACCAGTGTAGAAACCCTTTGATCATGGCCAAGAATTGGAAAGCGGGGGGTGACCTTGGTGCAAGCATCAGCCTTAATCCGCCAGAGAAAGGTCCAGTGGTGCCTAATACACCATCATCAGGTAGGAGGCGAGCCTCTGCATCATCATCAAACAGAAACCAGCCAGCTTCATCACGTCCAACAGCCTGCAGGTGACCACATTGATCCTCTCCATTTTGGACAACTCCTGCAATGACCTGGTACTCAATCAGATCAACTCTGAGGGTGTTTTCAGGTTGAATTGGAACAAGAATGGTTCCAGAGACATCCAGGTGCCAGACTTGCTTGCAGGGTTGGCCTGAGTGGTCCAAGGCATAGCGGTCAACATGCACTCCAATGATACGGCTGTCAGTTTGAAATGATGTGCTCATACCACGATATGTTTGCCATCCATCTAGGAGCTCCTGAACATGTGTGTGCTTGCATGTTGGATCACTAGTCGACACAGTGGGAGGCATCCATTTTGCACCGCTATCGGAGATTTGAACGATCCCCTCACCCTCACGTTCAAGGCGGCTATGCCATGAAACTCCGATGCTTGGTGGCTTCATCCAGTGAAGAAAAGCCTGAGTGAACTCATGTACGTCCTGTTGTCGACCTTGATTCCTGACTGCACAGGTCCACATAGGCAGCTTCACCATCCCCAAAGTCACTCCACACATCCCATCATTCAGGTGTAGAATGGCCCAACCCATGGAGAGCACTGCAGCATTTTGGTAGCAGGTGTTCCCGCTGTTGTGTAGCCGCAGGGCAAGTAGGAGTCCTGTCATTTCTTCTTTGGGTAGCGGTCTGCGGAGCTCTTGGCCAGAGCACTGGCCAGTGGATTCTCTCTCGCATTTGATGCGGCCGGAGTCTGGCCTGGATCAGAAGCCAGAGGGCAGATCCCGAGAGCAGCTGGAGGAGTTCCCATAATCTCTGATGTCTCATGCTGACTTGGATCAACCAGGGGCATACCTGTGATGCCTCCATGTTCTCCCCCATGGCCTTCAAGGACTTGAAGCGGATGATCTGGTCCTGCTGCGTTGAGATCTCCACAAGTTCTTCGATCTGTGCTTGCATCTTGACCATGGGGATAGGTGTTTTTTTTCCGTCATCTTGAGACGTCGTTCCTTGGGGCACCACATCAGGTAGGGCCATGCGCCAGAGGACGTTAGCATGGACGAGGCAGTGGCTTCCTTCCATAGCTCGCTGTTGCCCGTGGCTTGGGCTAGTTGGCCAAATCTCTCGGAGAGGAGTTGAACCAGGTGTTGCCAAAGTACGTTCTTGAGCGAGCTCGAGGCATTTTGCATCTCGACCTCCTTCTTCCATTTCTGCGTCCTCTGAATCAGGTGCCCAAGGACGCCCTTCTGAGAGGCTTGCAGGAATATGATGAACTGGTCCTGTTGTGCCAAGCCCTGTAGGTGGCCCTCGTGCCTCAACGTCAGAGCGGTGAGAAGGCTGAGTTGCTTTTGAATTTGCCCGTGGGAGGTCTCTGATGTCTCCTCGTCTCAAGTGTGTTGTCTCTTCCTTCTCATGTTTGGGTTTTCGAAGATTGCTCCCAGCGCATCCCCCATCTGCCCCATCATGTCGTCCTGGTTGATGTGATAGCTGCCCATCCGAGGCAAGAAGGAAGGCCAGGTTGGTGGCTACAGGACACCGCTCTACCACTTCACTTGAGTTCAAGCAGTGTTGACAGCAATCCAAGTATGGGCTGTCCGTCAAGGTTGCAAGACGAGATGCTGCATCAATCCACTGTGTGTGGTAGGAGGTCAGGTGGGCATCCATATCAGCCAATTCACAGGGGATGTGACATAGTGCACAAGTCGTGCTGAGGCGCTGGCGCCAAGTAGGACTCTGCCAGAAGTACGTGGCGCTTTCTCGGATGGCCTTGTCGTTGTTGGCCTCAATGTCATCGGTGTGTGACTTGACAGGTGGTGGTGACGGCTTGGAATTGGATTGTGCTGCAAGGAACAACGGATCAACAGGAAGGAGCGCATAGTGCATGATGGCCACTTAGTGTAGACAATATTTGTGCCTTTTCGAGCCTGTGGACCAACGGCTGGCGCCTGAGCAGCCGCATTCTGATATCTTGTCGAGATCTTTGCAGAGATCCAGCAGGCTTATGGCCTGGGGTGTTGAAAGATACTCCTCTTCAGTTGGAGTCCACAAAAACACAACTCGCCTTCAAGGCCATCAGGAAGTCATTGCGTGGATCTGTTCCACTTCATGGTCTCTGACCAGCTCCCTTAGTTCCGGCCAGGTGTATGGTACATGATCTCCAACTGGTCTTGCAGGATTGAACGACTTGCAGCTGCCTGATTCAATATGAGTGCGGAGCCCATAGTGCTGTCGAAGTACTTGATGGCAGTGACTGCATGTAGCCGTACCGTCAGCGGAATCACGTCCTGGATGGAATTCGAAGGGGCGCTTTATCGAGGATGGTGTGGTTTTTCTCCTTTTGAGAACTTCAGGAATGGCATGGTCACCGTCAGGAACAGGATGATGAAGAGCAATGGGAACACCTGTCTCAAGTTCATGAGTGAACTTTCCGGCATCCACCAATGATTTGAGTATTGCCAGTTGTCTCACAGCATGGCAAGGGTGTGCCTTGGGGCGGTTGATGCCACATGCTAGGGAGGCTTTGGTGCCACGTAGGTGATGGATGATGATAGCTTCCTGGAATTTCCCTTCTGACCATTGTTGATGATGCATGAGATTCAGGTGCTTCAAGAGCTCAGTGCCGGAGGCAAAATGCCGAAAGCACAAAATACAATGCTCACGAATGAGTGTGGCCGGGTCCTCTTTTTCCAGCAGGGCCACCCAGGCTTCTGTACGAGCATGTTCACGTAGGGCAGGCATGTCAGCCGGTGGTACCTGCAGCGGTCTGTCGGAGCTGAACTTTGGGCAGTGTCCTCTCGTGATGTGTTTGACAAGGCCTTCTCAGGTGGAGTGCTTGAGGTCACAGTGTGCGCATTGTGGGAGTCCTTGCAAAGCATCTCGAAGAATCTCATATCGATCAAATTGTTTGAGAGCTTTGTGAACCCGTGTCAGGTGAGCATGTGCTTCAGTTGTCGTTTGGCTGACATGATCACAGTATGGACAGTACATGGCCTCCATGGGAGCATCAGGTTCACGTTGACTGGAACCCTCAAACACCTGCATAATTCGTTGCTCAATGGATGCTGTTGAAACGGATTGCAGGTAATCATCAGGAGCAAGGCCTGATTGTACACGTTGGAGTCGAGCAAGGGCTCGAAGCCAACTTTCCTGCAAATGAGTCTTGGGTGAACATACTCCCAGGCGACTGAGCAGATCCTCTGTGGTTTCATGCGTGATGTGCGCAGGGGATTTGCCAACTCGTCGAAGATCCTGACACATACGACCATGAATCTGTTCAAGTCCAGCCTTGGTGAGCCCTGTGCACTGAATTGCATGGCAATAGCTGGATCTAATGCAAGTTGTCCAAAG